CCGCGCCAGTCTCCTTGAGCCGCGGATTTTCTTTTCTCGGAAGTTTGACTCTGGGAAGCTTGTTCCCTGATACACTGGAATGACATTTCTCCCCCTCTTCCCGATGTTTACCTCGCTGCTATTGCTCTCGCCGCTCGGAACGAGAGATGTCGTTGGATTCGCCTTCTGTCGGCAGGGAGCATTTCTTTTTTTTTTTGGGCCGGTTTTGGGGCCCGGGGAATTTGTTTCTTTTCTCTTCTTCTCTATTCCCTGCCTATAAGGAGAGTTCCCTTTTTTTTTGTTGGGGTTGTTGAAAAGTTTAGCTAGAGGAGGTTGGAAAGGAAATTCTGGGAGAGCATTTTCTTTGAGTTGGTTTCCTGTGCTGCTTTGCTTTAGCATTCCTGAGGTACTCTTCTTCCCCCCCCCTTTTGTGGTGCCTCGTTGCTCTTCGGTTTTCTCTTTGCCGAGCATTGAGTATAGTTCTGTTGGATGATACAACATGCTAACTCCCTTTACTTTCATATATTTTGAGGCATTCACTTTAAAAGCATGTGAAAGATAGGAATAGTTTGATTTGGTTACTTGCTTAGAATGGTGGGAGTATAGTATGTCAGAAATGTTCTCCTTCTTTCTACTTGTTTGAGATGAAACAGTGGCATAGTTCTATTATCGTGAATAGGAAGCCGGAAATATGGTTTTGAAATGATTCTAACACTTCTTGCAAGCATGTTGGGATATGAATTATGAAGCTTTTCATTTCTTTTTATTTTATTATTTAGCATGAGATATGGGAGAGGTTATTTGGCCTTGCATGCATGTTGGGGGCTCGGTTTTGGTTTCCTGTGGCTTCCCCTGGCTTGAAATATATGCTATGAGAAAACTTATTTAATTTGGAAAGTGTTACAGCTTGTTCTGAAGGCTGGATTTAGCTCCTTGTGAAATGCCTCCTCTGTTTATATACTTGTTGAATAATTTCATGCTTAGAATGTTTAGACGTGCAGGTTGTTCCTCGGGCTTAAAATGGCTAGAGCTTTAATGTTGTATGGCTCAATTATATCAATGCTTGGGCTTGATTTAATTTTGTTGAGTTCTGACTTTGGCTTTTGAGTTCTCGTTGAGCTCGATTTTGGCTTCTTATTTCTCGTCGAACTTGGATTTGGTTCCTGGTTCTTGTTGAACTTGGTTTTGGCTTGATTTGAAGTCACGATTTTGGGCATTGAATGGCTAGGTTTTGAGGTCAGTTTGGCTCTGGTTGGGGACTCGCTTTGGCTCTGTCTCTGGTTTCTGGCTCTGGTTTTGGTTTTGTTTCTTATCGAGCTCAGTTTGGCTCTGGTTGGTGGGCTGGCTTTGGCTTTCTTTCTTGTTGAACTTGGTTTTGACTCGGGTTGAAGTCACGGTTTTGGGTTTGAAATGGTTGGATGTTTAATGCTTTATGGGAATTTGGATTTTAATGTTGCTAGGCTCGATTTTGGGCTTTAAATGGCTGGCTTTAGCTTTGTTTCTAGTTGGGAGCTGGCTTTGGCTTTGTTTCTCTGGTTAGGCTGGCTCGGGTTTTGTTTCCTGTTGGGAACTTGGCTTTGGCTCTGTTTCTTGATTGAGCTTGGTTCCTGGTCGGATT